CGGGTCCTGCCCAAGTGGGCTTGGCCTCTGCCCACAGAGGAGGCAACAGAGCAGCTGCGGGGAGGGGAGCAGGGAGGCATCTCCCCTGGAGGAGGCTGGTGCCCCACAGGCTGGGAATTGGGCGCTAGGCCAAGCACTGGAGCACCCACCATGGTGTCATGACCTCACAGGAACCCCACGGGGGCTTAGCTACATTATGCCCGGTCATAAATATACAGCTAAGGGTAGCATAAAATCCCTCCTTACCTGTAAAGGGTTAAGAAGCTCAGATAACCTTGTTGGCACCTGACCAGAAGAACCAATGGGGAAAGAAGATACTTTCAAATCTGCGGGGGGGGGGGAGGTTTTGTTTTGGTGCTCTGTGTGTGTTCGCCCCGGAGACAAAGGGAGAGACCAAGCAAGTAATCCAGCTCCCTCTGAAATGATACATCTAATATTACAAAAATAGTAAGTAATAGCAAGGAAATGCATTAGAGTATCCTTTGTTTTAGCTTGTGAATTTTCCCTGTGCTAAGAGGGAGGTTTATCCCTGTTTTTGTAAAAAGTTTTGTATGGAAGGGAAATCCTCTGTGTTTTGAATCTTTTGTTACCCTGTAAAGTTATCTTCCATCCTGATTTTACAGAGGTGATTCTTTTCTCTTTTTTTTTATATAAATTCTTCTTTTAAGAACCTGATTGATTTTTCATTGTTCTTAAGATCCAAGGGTTTGGGTCTGTGTTCACCTTGGTTACTTATTTGGTTGGTGTATTATTCTCAAGCCTCCCCAGGAAAGGGGGTGAAGGGGCTTGGGGGGATGTTTTAGGGAAACAGGAACTCCAAGTGGTCCTTTTCCTGAATTGTTGTTTAACTCACTTGATGGTGGCAGCAATACCGTCCAAGGACAAGGAAGGATTTGTGCCTTGGGGAAGTTTTTAACCTAAGCTGGTAGAAATAAGCTTAGGGGGTCTTTCATGTGGGTCCCCACATCTATACCCCAGAGTTCAGAGTGGGGAGGGAACTCTGACATGGTGGCAGCGCGGTAGGATCATTTTGAACCAGAAGCACAGACCTGAGGAGTTTAAAAAAAATTTTCTTTTGGCTGCTTGGTAGGTTTTTTTTTAAAAGGACATTTATTTATTTATTTAAGCTGAGAGCAGCTGGAGTTTTTTTCTCTGCCTCAGGGCAGGGTAGTTAACTTCCTGCAAGGGAATTCACAAGTGGGTTTTTTTTTTCTTTCTAGCTCTCGGGTTAAGCTAGGCTAAGTGCAAAAGGCTAGGATGACAGAAAGTGATGTCCAGAAAAAACTGGAATTAGCCAGATTTGAAGCTGAAGAGAGACAGAAAGAACATGAAAGACAGATGGCCTTAAAGCATTTGGAGTTGGACGCAGAGGAGAGGAAACAGGCAAAACGCTTGGAGGCAGAGGCGGAGATGAAACGCTTGGAGGCAGAGGCAGAGATGAAACGCTTGGAGGCAGAGGCAGAGATGAAACGCTTGGAGGCAGAGGCGTAACGCTTGGATACGGAGTTAGAGCTGAAGCGCTTAGATCTGGAAAGGGCTAAGCTGGGTCTACCAGATTACTCTAACAATCCTTCTCCTGGTGCCGCTCCCCATTCCAAAAAATTCCCCACCTATAAGGTAGGCGATGATACAGAGGCCTTCTTAGAAAATTTCAAAAGAGCCTGCCTTGGGTACAGCATCTCTACAGACCAGTATATGGTGGAGCTGAGGCCGCAGCTCAGTGGACCCTTAGCAGAGGTGGCAGCTGAAATGCCTAAGGAACACATGAACAGCTACAAATTTTTTAAAAACAAGGCCAGAATTAAAATGGGGCTAACACCCGAGCATGCCCATCAGCGGTTCAGAGCCCTAAGGTGGAAACCAGACACGCCTTTTTGAGCCTTTAAGGTACACTCAGGGTCACATTTTGACATTTTCTCCAGAGCCACAAGAGCTAGAAACTTCATTTTTCTTTAAGAATGAAAGCTGAAATCATCACATATCACTTGACTCCAGGAGCTGGGGCTTTAAGGAAAACAATTACCATGAGACTCATGACAAAATCATTAGAGTTGGCAACACTGCTTGCACGTCTGTGTAAAGGCTAGTTATTTTCCAGAAGGGTCTTAAACACACTACAGTAACTGAGTTGCAGTTTTCACAGGAGAATATTTTAAATCAAACACAAGAAAATTCCATGTTTTAAAGTTGAGGGGAAATGGAGACCTCTGAAGTATCTCAGGGCCACTGCAGGCTGGAAAGGAAAATAAACAGGCACGGGAGCTATGGGCAGATCTTCCTCTTGAAAGAAAGTTGGATGGTCACATCTTCTAGTCCTTAATCCACTAAAACCTCTATTGCCATCAGTGCCTCCACTCTGTATATTAACATCACAGTG